AGAGGAATAACGCCGCTTTTGGAGCGATGGCTAGGAAACTTGCTGTCAAGGCAGTTCGAGGGACGACACTCAAAGGGCGTTGCAAAAACTGTTACAAAACAAAGAGTGGAATCCCACTTCGATTTGGAGCTGAGGTCCGTTGTCTTTTGTCTTTATGGTTTCATTTTTGCAGAAAAAGCACGCTCGAACTTTTTTGACACAATATAGCAGCCAGTAGCTGGTAATTATGCGAACATTATGAACAGTAAATATTACGACAAACGAGGCTTTGATGTTACTCTTGGTAAAACTTGGTTACATTCTTTCGATGTACTGCATGCTTTAGAGCTGCTGTTATGCACGATATTTTGGATATGATGCCCGAAGGAATCAAACAGAACAAGGCTCGTGTAATTCTGCAGCATCTAAGTGAAGCATGGCGTTGTTGGAAGGCTAACATCCCCTGGAAGGCAAGTTAATGGAATTCACGAAGTAAATCTGTTTCTTTAATAAATTGTTTTGTTCAAGGTTCCTGGATTGCCGACTCCAGTTGAAAATATGATTCTTCGCTATGTAAAAGCCAAAGCCGATTGGTGGACTAATTCTGCTCACTATAACAGAGAACGTGTGCGCCGGGGTGCCACCGTAGACAAAACTGTGTGCAAAAAGAATTTGGGAAGATTAACTCGACTGTATTTGAAGGTAATCATCAAACTTCTATTCCCCTCTGTTAACTTTCTTGGTGTGAAATCTCTACAACTTCTCGGTTCAGGCTGAACAAGAGCGTCAGCACAACTATCTAAAAGATGGACCATATATTTCTGCCGAAGAAGCTGTCGCAATTTACACAACAACCGTGCATTGGCTGGAATCTCGACGATTCTCTCCCATTCCATTTCCACCTTTGTCGTACAAGCACGATACGAAGCTTCTGATTCTGGTAAACATGGCTTTTTCCGGGATTAGAGGAACAATATGCGTAAGTAACTTTGTTTCAGGCACTCGAACGCCTCAAAGAAGCGTACAGTGTGAAAAATCGTCTAAATCAGTCTCAAAGAGAAGAGCTGGCTTTGATTGAACAGGCCTACGATAACCCTCATGAAGCATTGTCTCGTATCAAGCGTCACATGCTCACGCAGAGGGCGTTCAAGGTAATTAGTTCTGAAAGTGTGTGGACGGCTCATATGAGGTGCATGTTTAGGAAGTTGGTATCGAATTCATGGATTTGTACACTCACTTGATTCCTGTATACGATATTGAACCACTGGAAAAGGTAACAGACGCATATCTCGACCAGTACCTGTGGTACGAAGCTGACAAGAGAAGGTACTGTTTTATTTATTTATTTCATTCCTCCACCATTCTGAGCAAGAATTTGTCCACTAAACAATGAAACGAAGGGAACAGTGCGATTAATCTTTCCTGATTTTAAAAATTCAAGCAATGTCCAAAGATAGAATAAAATGATTCTATGCTTCTGCTCATTTGCACCGGCGACTGATTTTTTAATCAGTTTATTCCCTTTTAGTTCATGGGCCACCCGCCCGCTTGACAAATCACATGGTAAAGTAAATGGTGATAACCAGTTCCCATAAATAGGTCCGCTTGGCAAGTTTGTGCTCTCGGTATAGCTTGTGCAGGATTTACCTATCACTTGTTGTCTGGTAAACACAGTGTGTAGTTTGTTCCTAAGGATAAAGCCCGTCAGAAAGCCAATCAAAAAGAGTCGGTGCAAGCGAAAAGAGCGTAGTATTTCTGCAAAAGATAATATGTTTGAT